GTCAGTGACCCGGGACCAACAAGACCGGAGTGGATGGCTGGCTATGACTTCCAGTGCGGAGTGTTATACCGCAAATAGCTAACTATGTACGGAGTACTTACAATCGTACACTGCGCATCGCAATGACCTCCAGTTGCATCAGTGGCTGGATCTGCGTTTCCGCTGCTTGCAACCCTCCCGGGCCAAGCGAGGGGCTCCTGGCGAGCCTAAAGAGCCTTGACCGGTTGCAGGTCCGGGGCGCGTCAAGCGAACCACGAGCCGTTCGCTTGGGGGAGGCACAAGGCTGGCAATCGCTGGGAGCGGCACTGATGGCGCCGGAGCCACCCATGGATCAAGACCCTAAGCTAGCGCCCAAGAGAGTCGAGGCACCGGATCCCTAGGGCCTTGGAGGGCAAATAATAGGCTTACGGCAGCAGCAAAATCAGGTATCGCAGGACCGAGCAGGTTCCATGTCGTGGCCAAACCTCGTCGTCGGTGCCTCTTCTCTCCTCATCTGCTGCGCATCGACCCCAGCCTCCCACCACGCAACCAAGCTTCCCTCTTCTCACCCCCCTTCTTCCTCATATCTACTCCGGACATCCTGACGTCTCCTCCTCCTTCATTTCTCCTCGGCGCTTTCGCAGTCTGTCTTTATCCTTCTCTTCCGGTACACTTTTGCCTCCGCCAGACTCCTTTCCGTCGGCGCTTGGCCACTCTGGACCAGCTGCTTAACTAAACAACACAACAATCAGACTCTGAACCTTTCTCCGTGGTTCGTTCGATTTCGAAGCTTCGCCTCTCGGCCATTTCGACTTTCTACACTTGATGGCATAGTCATTTCCATACGTCGTCTGATCTTTGATCTATTACGATACCAACACCCCGAGGTCACCATGATGCAACCAGCGACACCAGAATCGCAAGACGTCGACATGCAACTTGCTTCAGACTCCGACCAGACCTACCCGGAACCACCACCTCGTCTTGCCGCCCGCTTTTGCCGGAAGACGAGCGCTCGCCGGAAGTCCTCTGCCAATTCCTCCCGTCGAAGCTCCCTCTCCTCGATTCACTCTCACACCTCGAACCGGTCCAGTCATGGCGGACCCGCGAGCACCCACGTCGCACAGCACCTCCGGCGTGCCTCGATCATTGAGAGTCGAAAGGCACGTCTGGCGGATAGAGCTGCTCACGCAGAACAGGTCAGGGTGAGGGCCGCCGCTGCCAAAGCCGCGCGAGGTGTCTCGTACAGCGAGGAGAGAGCCTTGGCTGCGCAGGCGGCACGGGAGAAGCTCCTCGCTGAAATCACGGCAAGGTGTGAAGAGGAGGTCCGACGTGCAAAGAAGATTGCCGAAGAGACGAAGGAGAGAAAGGCAGCAGAGCTGGCCAGACTCAAGGAGGACATGGCCGAGAAATTTGCAGAGGCGGCCCGACGAAAATCCATGTACCAGCAGGGTATGCGAAGACCAAGGACGACTTCGCTGGCAGCTGTCGAGGAAAAGAAGGTCTCGCCCATCGCATTGACACAATCAAGTCGAGCATATGCTGCAAAGGTGATCCAGCGAACTTGGCGATCCTACCGCGGTCGCAAGATCATTGCCGACTTCTCTGCCATGGAATTGGACTTGATTCGCGCTCAGTCACTTTCTTTCGAGGATTTGACGAGGCTCCTCTCGACAGACAAGACCACCACCGTCACCTCGCGGCTGCTGAAGCACTTGGACGTGCTGGAAGACGGCCAGGAGACCACCGGCCCCGTCCGTATCTTCTTGAGTGCGTATCTGATCTTGTCACACCCGATGCAAGCATTCAGCCACGGTGGGAGCCAGCCTCAAGAGCAAGAACTGATGGCCAAGGCGAGTACTTTGGTCGAAGCCTTCGAATCACACATGAAAATCAGACCGCCAAAGTCGCGACGAGACACGGCAGCCTCCACGAGAGAAGCCTTGTGTTTCGCCTTTAATGATTTCTCTGCCACTTTTGACGCTTGGAAGAACCAAGACCTTGGTGTTCTCGTCGACGTCATGGTCAACTCTTTCGTCAATCTCGATCTCATCCTGCAGGCGACCAAGAACGACCACGAAGGACATGTCGCCGAGGATTATCTGGATGCCGTCCGCCAAGAGCAAGTGAAACTGCTGGCCAGGCTGAAGAGACTTGCTGGACCGGAAGAAGCTCTATCGAGAGTCAGACTGGCCGTACGAAAAGCCCGAAAGCAACGAGCCGCCGAACAGCGGCAGACAGCCGTGCGACAGGTCCCACGAGCATCAACACCGGCCAACAGTGGTCCCTCGTCTGTTAATGGAGCACCAATTACACCCCCAGCGACGCCACAACCATATCATCGCCACAGGGAGTCTAAGAGTTCCACTTTTGCCAACAACCTTGGTCAAATCATGACGGTCTTGCCTTCGAACCGTGAGATTGCTCACGAGATCTTGATCAACGGCAGCTTCGAGGTGCAGCAACGCCCTTGGACCGAGGCTCGAAAGGACCTGATGAGCTCGCTCCGCTCCAACATGCGGAGTAGCATGCAAGACGGGAATAGCGACGCGGCGGCCACTTGGACCCATGCCATGGCCATCCTCATTCGTGAGAAATTGATGAACCTCGTCAGTCAACGACATCCTCTTTACGATCGATTTGATGGATTTTTAGACCCGGCATTGATCAATCAGCAATGCAGGAATGGAATGTTCTCCTACACTGCATTTTTTGACACCATTTCTGGCTTGATTGCACAAATTTGTTCGCCAGGACGTGATGAAATCGTCCAGGCTTTCACGAACGACACGACCAGCGATACGATTGACCGTCTTTTCGACCTGATCAACATCATTGATTTGATGACCTTGGATCACATCAATTTTCAATTCAGACTGGCGTCCCAGTCTGTTTTGGAGCATGGGCACGAGCACGAAGTGGCGTCTTTTGAGAAAGAGCTTGAAGATGATGTCCATCGTCTCGACCGAACCAGGCAATGGTGGTCCAATTCAAAGGGTATGGTCGGTGTGAATGCAAGTGGTGGTGCCGTGTACGCAAGAGGTTTGACCGACCTAGTCTTGCGCAACACCCATCTGTGCTTCCAGGACGTGCCAGAGACTCTGCAACTGGACTACATCCGTCTGCTCAAGTGGAGGGCGCGCGCTTTCCAAGTGGTGGCAACCTCGTCGATTTTGCTCACGACCAAGATTCGACTGAGGCGCAACAGGGAGTCACTGTGGACAAAGGATGCCGAACGGTTGATGTCCCTAGACTTGTTGAATGTGGACGCCAATCGCGTCGTGTCTCTGGTTGAATCATCGCACATGATGCCGGACAGTATCAAGGAAGGTCTGTCCAATTTCGTCGGCCGTGTTTTACCACCGGCGGCCGATGCCGCCAAGAATGCCGATTCGGCGGAGCATGACCGACAGGATGCTATCCACAGTCAGTCGACGTACCGGCCCTCTGAGGATGAGCATAGCCTCGGTGGAGATGTGTTTACAGAACAGATCGCCAGCTTCCTGCTCAAGTCACTTCGTGAACATGTCTTTGCCAGGCTTTCCGCCAACGGAACCCAGGAAAGAGTCCGAACCACGACGGGTGCGGCAGAGGTCCTGGCCAGGGCCGGCATGCCTGAATTTCTCGAGGAGGTCAACCGTCTGGTTGACGCTTTGGATCGAATTCGGGCGGTCGATCTCAAAGCGCACGGGAGATGGTATGACCAGATTGCCGGAGAGTTGTCTGTATGATTCTTGGGTGATCGTGGAGAGGCGCTTAAGCATGCGAGAGAAGTAAAGTTTGAAAACGAGCATATTGCATTTGTTCATTTTCGGCGTTTTTCCGACGGTCGGAAGAGAGAGGATGTTGATAACCTACCTATCTAGGTAAACAGGAGAAGGGGAATTTTTGGTCGTTTTGCATTGACATGACATTGACCTTTTTGTTTCTATAGCCTCACTGTCTGGGTCGATCGCTTGGGTCCACGGTGTTTTTTTGTTGTTTGTGTAAGAAAGAATACGAATTTACGGCTTTACGGGGGAGCAATGAGTGCCTGCTGCTCACCACGGACGGGGGTATCTACCTAGGTACGGAGTAGTTCGAGCAACTCTCTACGAATTTTATCAAGTATAACAAACCCACCACAACAAGAGTAGAGTTTTTGGTTTCTATTTTTCCATTCCCGCTTCGCCTCGTCGAGTATGGAGTAGGTAGTAGTTCGATGAGAGTATACAGTATGGCGGAGGAAGGCAGTGAATGGTTTTTCTCATTCAAAATTGATGCGATGCCGTGTCAACATGAGACAAAGTTGAATCTGGTTTGAAACCTACGGAGTGCCGTTTTCTAACGGAGTATTTTTTTTTCACTTGACTTACGGAGTACTGTAGACGAGATGGGATGCCCATTCGTCGGAGAAGATCTTGTTGACACCTAAGTACCTGGTACCTACTGGACGGAGTATGTATGTACAGTAAGAGTATTGTATTCGGAGACTTCGTGTTTATTTAATTTTATACTCCATACGGATAGTTAGATGGTGATCCGGTTCCGTCCGCTCACTCCGTATGAATACGAGGCATGGATCGTTGAAATACTGGTAACTACTGAGATACTGACTTCTTCACGATACCTGGGTCAGGCTTGGGTCCGTACCTGGGTAGGTGGTTAAAGCTACGACTATCAAACGAGGTACGGTTCACACACTCCCGGCTGTGGTTCGCCTTGGGCCGAATAGGTCCTTGATGATCACATACAGAACTCACGGGAAACGAAAAACTAGCGTCTACTTCCACAGCAGGTAGTCCATACGGCAGTATGTAATATTATACAGAGTATGTATATCCCTTACCTACGGATGCTTCGTAATCCGCCACTGCAAGTTTGTAACCACATAGATCTACCTTTGGATATCAAGTCCCTCCTATCGCCCTCTGGTTCTTGCTTCTAAGCAGACCCACCACATGGACTCTCCCAAGTCAAGCATAAAGAAAAATAGGGATGCACGGAGCAACAAAAAGAAAAAAGAGAAGAAAAAAAAGGCACTCCTCCGGGTGGGCTCGAACCACCAACCTCCTGATATATGCTTATATTAACAGTCAGACGCGCTAGCCAATTGCGCCACAGAGGAAGAAGGATGGAAGAGGAAGTTCTATGAATTTCTTGCTCCAATTGTTGGGAGAGATTGTGCCCCAATAAAATATGAATATTACCTAAAGATAAAATTGTGAGTCAAGTGGAGATCTCTGCGGAAAAACTTACCCCCCGGATCCTTTCTGTCAGCCAAATCATTCTTCACAGGCTTGGCACCACATCTGACTGCCTTGGGAGGAGGTAAAATCTTGGAACATGGGGATATAATTTTTAATACTGAGCGTCCAGGTAACTATTTGTAGACTCTCTGCAAAAAGGAATGACTCGTCACTCAGCATGTCTCTAGAAACCCTTCGAGATATCATCTCGAGTGAAATGAATTCAAACCCTTGTTGGTAGGTATGTTGCTGTCCAAAGAGGGTGTTCAAACATTGCCTATTCAGCCACACTGCTCGAGGCGAGATACATGGCTTTCTTGCCCTTCACACTCCAGCATGATGCCATTTCCTCCGCCTCCGTCTCCAAGATGACTGAGAAAAATTGGTGCTTGTGTGGCATGCGACTCGGATTGCCAGCAGACTGAATTGGATCGTGTTGCCTGAGCGCGATGCGCTTAGAGAAGCGGACAAAGTCCAGGTAAAGGTGATTCGAGCACATCCTTGGATGTTCAGTCTCGACTTGGTTTTTTGAGCTGGGCTTTTCGGGTGTTGTGGTACATACTGAGGCGTGCCAGGACAAAAGTGTGGCCCCATATTACCACTAATGTTATGGATTTGCCCTAGTTAGAATCGCCAGTTCCGAAGCTTATGAGATGATGTGCTACTCGTCATGCAGCAGGACATTGAGAATTCGGTATTAAATTGCTTGCACGACAAGAGCAGCAGTCGCCGTCTATCATGTGCTTTTGTACCTAGGCGTCAAATCTATGATGCCGTGAAAGAACGGCACCCTTGGTATGGATACGTCATATTTCCTTCCAACATCTCCTCGAAGTCGATGATTGTTATCCAATTAGAGACTCAATAGTATTCAATTTGGCTGTCCTGCAGACAGATATGTATCTGATCTACAGACGTTTGGCAGCTGAGTGGTCGAAACTGGATGACAGACAGTTGGAACAACGCGACAGCACTCTCGGCCTCGGGCGGAATGATCCCAGCCTAGCTAAGATATGCGACAATCTTGAGGGCTCGCATCAGAAGTTGACAAGGCTGTACAGGTTTGATCTGGACAGGGCTGGTCCATGGTTCGTTGGTGTTGTCTCTCAGTCCGTGTGGACTGGATTCTACTCGGAGCTGTTGGTTGCACGATTACCATCACTTTCGCTGCTGAGTCGGTCAAAAAGCTTCTCTAACATTTCCTGTTTCTCAAACTCGACTCTTTGAGCCCAGAAAAAAGATTCCCCGTTTGACGAGACGGTTTTGATCCGGAAAGCAAGGCGACTTAAGCGAGCTGGGCTTGAGTCGAAGCATGTATGTTCGTGTCGGGTACCGGGAGGCGATATTTCAGCTTTCACGAAGACGGCGCTCTTCTCGCTAACCGGAAATGAAACAATGATGCTAACAGTCCAGCCAGCTAGAGAAATATAAGGGGTTCGTTTCCCTGTGACCGGATAAAATGATCGTGTACCGGTAAGGAGTCCGGTGGCAGTCTCTTCTCTCTTTCTTGCCCAGGTGTTGTTGCCTCCGACAGAGGCGAGGGTTTGGCTGAGCCCGACTCCGACAGGGTTTGGCATCCAATGTCTCGTTTTCGAACCGTCCTCAAGTAGTGGTAATATTTCAGCTGTATCGCCTTCAATGGGATCATAGCTCTCCGAGTCAAGCTCAGTCTCAATATGAGGCTGGACAGCATTGCCGTCGATCAGAGTCGATTCAATCTCGAGGGGTTTAGAAGAATGGGGGAGGTGAGGCTGCACGCGATTCTCCCCGAGCATGATGCTTAATTTCTTTTCGAAAAGCTGTCTAATAGCGCTCGCAATTTCCTCGGGGATTGTTCGTGGTTTCGGCTTTTTCGATCGCTTCGCCTTGACTTCAAAAACCTTACGGTCGACATCGGTGTAGTGTTTTGGAATCAATACCATGAGCATAAAACATGCTTCGATTAGTGATTTTGTTGGGGAGAGATCTTGAAGTTCCCTGACGTCCTCGGCTGTCTGAAAACCTTTACGGTGGAGCCACTCCACTATATGGTGATCAAGTGTGTTCAGACTCACAGAATCCAAATCGTTTGCAGCATATGCTCGAAGAATCATTGTATGAGCACCTTAACGTTCAAACATGTTCCACTTTTGCCCTTTGACACCACTCAGATAGCCAGCCATGCGCAGAGTATGTGTAAAACGTTGACAGGCCCTGAAATTCCCTTGGAAGAATAAGAGTTTCTGGATCTGGAATAATTAAGAAAACTCTTTGGACTCCATTGCCGCGTGTCTGCACCCGAGCCTTGATCTTGAATGATCTCAGGGTTAGCTCGAATTCTGCTGAAGCAAAGGGTTGTCTTGGAAGGTGGATTCCTCGGCGACTCCTTCTGCAACAAGAACGAAATGAGCACGACTGCCATTCAAGAGTTCGAAAGAGAACATTTTGAATGCCTCTGCCTCATCATTGCCTTTCGAAGGCAGATTTTCTTGGGCAAAACTTGATCGGTGGCGAAGATTGAGTGGCCAAATCAGTACTTGTCCGTCAGCCAATCCCATCTCCTCAAAGGTGAGAGGTAAAAAGCTGTCTGGAGAGCCAGGCTGATCGTATTTCGGTGGTATCAAGGCTTGATTCAGGACCATCGCCAACGGGCTCTCTACACTCCCAACTGGGGTGTAGAGCTTCTCAAGTGGTGATATTTATATATATATATATATATTTAGTTGCGTCCGTAGTTGATCAAGCCCTGTCGTGCTGCCGGGTTTATGGTATGAGGACAAGAAGGAGCCACTTCAAAGGTCAGCGAAAATAGCAACCGTAGTTGCGAGAGAAAGAGAGGTACAGATACGCAACGCAGAACCTCGAAGGAGATTTATAGGCAGTGATGTTGGGTGACAAGGGTGGGCAGTGAAGGAGATTTAGAGGCAGTGATATTGGGTGACAAGGGTGAGCAGTGAAGGAGATTTAACCCTGAATACTCTTGAAGACACTATCCGTTTCTGTGGTCAATCGCCATTGATTCTGGCCGTCGATTTCAGCTTTCCATCCGCTGGAGAAGAGGATGGTACCGAAAGTGATGGACAGGAAGAGGTGGAGGCGATACAAGACCAGATGGAGGAACTGAGAGAAGAAAAGAAAGCGTTGGAGGATGCGTTTGAGAAGGCGCGGAAGAAGACAAAGACTGCCACTAGATAAGTTCTATGACCAGATCCAGTTGTTTCTAACGGATGTGTGGGAACAAAGGTTGGGTGGCAGGGTATCTCTTACTTTGTCATTCCTTTGTAATGTTGCATTCCACGTACTCATATCAACAAGGTCCTGCATTGTCTATCAGCGGACGTTTTCACCAAGGACGCAGCCCACTTTATCCCTTCTCTGGCGCTTTGATCTCTTGAGAGAATAAACCCATTCTTTTCATACATGTAGCTTAGCGTTTAGCCAGCTGTAACCGCAGCTCTGACTCTGAATTCGCTCGTTCTTTCCCATGCGTTCAGCTCGCGAGTCAAATTGTTTTGAGTCTGCTCAAGCTCACCAATCTTTGCCGTGAAACTCACGTCTGATTTAAGGAACTCTGTCTGCTTTTTAACATACTGAGTCAACACACGAAAGCATAACATGCCATGGTAGCACCTTCATCTACCTTCGGCTTGCTAGAAAGGAATATGGTGTTGGAGGCCTTATGCTGCATGTACGAACCGAAGATGGTATCCGGAGTTTTCGGGGCCCGCAAACATCATCTTCTCGGCGATCGAATAGCGGTGTTGTATCTTTGGCGATATTGGCGTCCTCGCCATAAAACTTTCCTTTTATAGAACCTACCATTGGCCTTAACCGGCCCTTCCCTTTGGAAATCATGGGGACCCGGATATTTCTTCATATCCAGCTCGATGGCCCAGGCTAACGAGCTCACTACTGAACGACACTGCGCCTTAAGATCTTTCCGGTGGGGCCGCTAGAAGACAAAATCTGGAAATGGCACCGAATGCAGCTCTTTTCGAAATCGAAGATGGTACAAAGAACTATCTATAGGGGGCGGGGTCTCGTCAATCTTCTCCAAGATATAGTAGTCTTCGAGGGCGCCATCGGCCAGGGCAATTATCAGTAGACACAGGACCGGTTTCGCGAACAGCAGCTGCATATCCTCGTACATGCTATACTACAGTCTGATAGGGATTTGATGTCAGTAGGAAACCTATTTACAGTGCTGTGCGCGGAGAAAGAGATGTTTTAGGACGACCAACCTCTTGTGTGGCTTGTTAGGAGATTCCTTCGTGTCCCGCATGGCTCGGACAGCCTATTCCGCCTCTCCTTGCTCGTTCTTGAAGACGACGAAGACGACATCCTGTATGCGAATCGTAAGGACACTCCCATCCCGGATTAGATCGTATCATGTTCTTACCCCGTACAATAAATCTCGGCTCGAGCCACGGCGCAGATGGGTCCAGCTCTAGCGAGAGCCCGAAACGGTCTACCCAAGATGTTATGATGTAGAGTCGCTTCGACGTCGTTGGGACGAACGCGGCCGCGCCAGAGGCTAGAGCCGAAACGGAAGCGTCAGAGAGCGGGAAGTGGGGGAAGAGGGCGTCGGAGAGAGCGAGGGAGAGGCGAAGGCGAGCAGAAGAGAGCGGACGGGGACCGAGGAGATCAAATAGTCGCTAGCGCGGGAGCAGAGCGGCGACGGATACTGACGAGTCAGCGGAAAGGTCGAGGAAAAGTGCAGATCGGGGAATCTATATCTATATCTATATCTATATATCTACATACATATACACACACTCGCTCTCTATTTGCCTCTGAAAGATGCAGACTCCTTACCAAACGTGATTTCGTTTGCCAATATCGAAAAACAAAACATGAATACCATACTCGTTGTTGGATGTGGTATCACAGGTTCCGTTGT